TTTTCTCTCCAAAACCCCCAGGTACATAGTTGTCTGTTTTTAGTTGTGGGTCCTTCCAGTTGTGCCATGCGGGATGCAGCCCCAGCATGGCTTGATGAGCAGTGCCATGTCCGTGCCCAGGATCCAAACCGGCAAAACCCTGGGCCACCAAAGCAGAGCGTGTGAACCCAACCACTTGGCCATGGGGCTGGCCCCTGACAGGGTCTTATATGTAGAAAATCCTAAAGATTTTGCAAAAAAAAAATGTTAAGAAATAAATTCAGCAGAGTAACAGGATATAAAAATCAACATCCAAAAATAAGTTCTGTTTCTATACACTAACAATGAACAGCCCCAAAAGGAAACTAAGAAAACAACTCCACTTAAAATAGCATCAAAAGATAAAATATTTAGGAGGTGAAGTATCCCAGGGAGGTGAAAGACTTGTACAATGAAAACTACAAAGTATTTCTGAAAGAAATTAAAAACAACATAAATAAATGGAAAGACATCCCATGTTCAGGGATTGGAAGACTTAAAATTGTTAAAATGATGTCAGTACTACCCAGTGATCTACAGATTCAATGGAATCCCTATCAAAATTTCAATGACTTTTTTTTACAGAAGGAGAAAATCTATCCTAAAATTCATATGGAATTTCAAGGGAACCCAAACAGCCAAAACAATCTTCAGCAAGAAGAACAAAGTTGGAGGACTGACACTTCTTGATTTCATAATTTACTACAAAGCTATGGTAATTAAAACTATGGTACTGGCATAATGATAGACATATAGACCAATACAATAAAATAGGCCACAAATACATCCTTGTATATATGGTCAAATGACTTTGACAAGGGTGTAAGACCATTCAATGGGAAAAGTAGTCTTATTAACAAATGATGCTGGGAAAACTGTATATCCACATGCAAAAGAATGAAGTTGGACCCTTACTACGTAACACTGTATACAAAAATTAACTCAAAATGGATCAAAGACCTAAATGTAAGAGCTAAAACTATAAAAATTTTACAAGAAATTATAAGGGGAAAGCTCATGACTTTGGATTTGTCACTGATTTCCTGGTTATGACACCAAAGGCACAGGCAACAAGAGAGAAAATAGACAAATTGGACTTCATGAAAATTTAAAGCTTTTGTACATCAAAGGACACTATGAATACACTAAAAAGGCAACGTACAGAAAATATGTGCAAATTATATAACTGATAAAGGATTAATCCAAAATATAGAGAACTGCGAAAACTCAACAAAAAACTTGATTCAAAACGGGCAAAGAACCTAAATAGACATTTCTCCAAAGAAGATATGCAAATGGCCAATAAGCACAGGAAAAGATGCTCAACATCACTAATCATTAGAGAAATGCAAATCAAAACCACAATGAGATACCACCACACACCCATTTTATAGCACTTATTAGGATCGCTGCTATAAAAAAAAACAAAATAACAAGTATCGACAAGGAATATGGAGAAATTGCAATCCTTGTGCACTGCAGGTGGGAATGTAAAGTGGTGCAGCTGCAATGGAAAACAGTATGGCAGTTCCTCAAAAAACTAAAAATAGAATTGCCATATGATCCAGTGATCCCACTTCTGGGTACATACTCAAAACAGCTGAAAGCAGGGATGTGATCAGATATTTGTACACCCATATTCATAGTGGCGTTATTCACAATAGCCAAAAGGTAGAAGTAATCCAAGTGTCCAGCAGATGAATGGATAAACAAAATGTGGTACACATATACAATGAAATATTTTTCAGCTTTAAAAACGAAGGAAATTCTAAAAAAAAAAAACAAAAAAAACAAAGGAAATTCTGACGTGCTACAAGTGGGTGAACCTTGAAGACATTATGCTGAGAGTAAGCAATCACAACAGGACAAATACTGGGTGATTCCACTCATATGAGGTACTTAGAGTAGTCAGATTCATAGAGACAGAAAGTAGAATGGTAGTTGCCAGGGGTGGGAGGGAGGGGAGAATGGGCATTGTTGTTTAATAGGTTTAGAGTTTCAGTTTTGCAAGATGAAAAATGTTCTTGAGATGGACGGTGGTGATGGGTGCTCAACAATATGAACGTACTTAATGATACTGACTGTACACTTACAAATGGTTGAATGTGATCTGGAAAAATAGGAGGTGGTGGTTAACATGGGGTGTTTGAAATCCTGATTTTAAAGATGGTGCAATTAATGAAAATGAGTGTGGCCTGTTACCATGGGAACTCATGGATAAGGCAACAGTAAAGAATGAAAACACAGAAGAAAGGAGGTCTAGGAACTGAAGTGCACGAGTTTTGGATGAATTGGAGGACAATGAAATTACCAAGAATTATGACAGAAGAAATGATGAAGAGTGAGTGAGGCGCGTGTGTAGGGGTTGGTGCCAACTAGGAGGCCAATACACTGTACCCTCACAGGGTTGTGGGGTTAAATGTTAGGGCACCTAAGCGCACAGTGCCTAGCAATGTAGTGGGCACTCAAATGTCAGCTCTCACCTTCCTCCTCTTATTCTGAGCTGTGTTACCAGATACCATACTGTAGACTTTTAAGTGCTTATACTTTTTATTTGATCAATAACATTTCTAATGTACTTCTAAAATAAGAATCCTAAATTAGAACTTGAAGACAAAATTCAGTCTGGGCTATTATTTCCTTAACAGATTTAAATGCCTAAGACAGAGATAGGCAAACTTTTCTGTAACGGGCCAGATAGAAAATATTTTAGGCTTTGTGGGCCCTGTGGTCTTCGTCACAACTGCTCAACTCTGCCACTGCAGCAGGCCGGCAGCCATACACAGGTCACAAATGAGCGTCATGGTGAAATGAAAATGAAACTTTATTTAGAAAAACTGGCAGTAGATTAGTTTGCTGAGCTCTGGCCTAAGACAGTATTTTTGTACATAACATTTTATTTGTAAGGATTTGGCAAATTGTATTTGTTGATGCCTTTTATGGCAGGATTATAATCTTGAATTGTCATGCTTGGACAGTTCACCTTGGTCTTAATTAATCTTATCAAAGCCATGAAGCTATGGCTACACTTCTACAAGATACATGTTACATCCTGATTATGTAAGTCATTTTAAAGAAAAAATTTCACTAGGTTGCAGGTCTAAAGATTAAATTTCTGAGAAGAGGCAAAAAAGGGAATTTGTTTAAAGCCACATTTTCTTGTTGTGAATGGCAGGCATAACATAGCCTGGTGCTCTCCTTCCCTACAGTATTTGTGTGTTAATCTCTTTCTCATAAATTTTTAGGGGTCCAGATTAGATGATCAAAGATGTGCTCCACCACCTGCTGCCACAAAGGGACCGACGGTACCAGATGAGGACTTTTTTAGCCTTATTTTACGGTCTCAGGCGAAGAGAATGGATGAGCAGAGAGTTCTTTTACAAAGAGATCAAAACAGAGACACTGAATTTGGGCTGAAGGACTGTTTGCAAAGTAATACTTTGTTAGAATTTAAAAATTCAGGAAAAAAATAAGCAAACCACTAGTTACTATGAATATATCTTTTAAAAGCGACCTTATTTCCTTTCAGAACACTGCAGGGAAATTCAATGTTATTATTTTTTTCCTTAAGAGGAGAAATTATAGCACTGTAATACACTTAAAATGTTTTTAGAATGATGTAAATATTTAACCTTTAAGAGTATACTATTAATTACATTCCTCTGGACACTCACTCGTTTCCGGTGGATGTCTTATAAGGTGCTTCCTCAACTTTTGTGGTTACTTCTTGGGACTTTGTTCTTTGGCAACTTGCTAGATTACTTTACCTAGTGCTTGTAAATTAGGAAGTTAAATGAATTCTAGACTAGAATTTAATCCTTTTGCTGAGATAATTTTTTAAAATCTTAATTGAAATGGTGTTTTTTTATACTTAACCATGGATGTCCTGAGAAATTATGCTGTTTAGTAAAAATAATGTACTTGACCACTGTGTAAAAAAGTTATGTAAAGTAGTTGTAAGAAAATCTAGGGTTTTTTTCCCTCTAAGAAAATCTATTTTCAATATATCATTTTTAGGCCAAACCCATTATAAAAGAAACTCTTAAGGAAATAAACATGTTTGGGCTCTTTGTTTAATATTGTATCTTCTGTTGCAAAATGCTGCTGTAAAACTTTTTAGGACCTAATGTCAAAAAAAGAGTCATCTGGTTATGTGAAGAGCCTAGGCCACGAAAACAGAAAACAGATGAAAACTCACAAAATCTAAGCATGAACAATGTAGGTTAGGACCTCAGTTGTCATTAAGCCTTGCCCCCCTTGTCCCAGCAACTGGAAGTAGTTTGCGTAATAGAACATAACATAAAGTAAGTTTAGCAAAAGCAGAACAAGGACAGGACAGAGCAGGGCCTGGACTACAAGGCTGAATTGCATAATACAAATGCCACACCTGGAACAAGCTGGCACCTCATCCACTGCTGGTTGCTTCTGATTCTGCACGGATGGGATCTGGGCATCTGGACTGCTGTTCTTTCTAAAAATCCTTCAGTGATTTTGATTGGCAAACAGTGAGAACCACTTCGCCTAATGGCCAATGTTTAAAAAAAGAAGGTACCCAACCTGGAATCACATTAAGTGCTTAATTAAAAAAGATTATTCTTGGTTCTAAGATCAGACAGAAATTTTGTCAAAAGTACTCAGTTAACAAACACTTGGATTATATTATGTTTTATATATTTATATAGGGTATAATGTCCTGCATGGCATCTTTTAAACACTGCACCTAAGTTTCATGGGGCTTTTTCTTATAAGAATATCCAATGAGGGGCCAGGTTAAATTAGCATTCTCCGCTTCGGCAGCCCAGGGTTTCACCGGATCAGATCCTGGGCACAGACATGGCACCGCTCATCAAGCCATGCTGAGGCAGCGTCCCACGTAGCCGAACTAGAAGGACCTAAACTAGAATATATAACAACGTACTGGGGCTTTGGGGAGAAGGGGGAAGAAAATTATCCCATGAGCAAAGACAGCATACCAAACTACAGTAAGGTAAAAATAAATGTTTATTTTGTATATATGGTATTCCTTAGACCCTGTAAACATTGAACATTATTCCATTTAAAAATTGCTTTTAAAAGCTGTCTACCCCATTCTGATTTTCCTAAAAGCTTGTCACTGTAATCCTTGATTTTAATGATAAATATTGGCTGGACAATAAACAAGCCTATCTCTTCTAGTTATAAAATGGCCTTGGTATGTTCAGTTTGCTTTAATAAGTCTTCCCTGAATTGCTGTGATCATTCAACAGCAGTAGCATGTTGCCTTGCTAGCTGTCAAAGTAGATTTCATCCCCAAATGGTTATCTGTAATAAAAGAATACAAAGATGAAATTTTACTTATTTTTTTTTTTAAAGATCCATTTGGGGACTGAGAAAAAGCAGGAAGGCAAAGAGCAATAAGCCTACTCTCATAGTTTAACACCTGGTGCATGTATTTCTCTTCAGAATCAGATCACAGCTCAGAGGAGAACTCCCACCCTGGGAGCATAGTCACCGATCAGTGTGAACAGGTCTACCCCCACAGAGGACTACTTCATACATACCGATGTGCACAGATCTATTCCAAACACAAACATCCTCTCATTAGTTCACTTGTTACATACCTACTGTTACAGATTTTTATATAAAATCCTTTTGTATTTTTGGAAAAAATTATTACCTTTCTAATGAAATACTAAAGATGTTTGCAATATTAAGCTAGAAACTAATATTAACATGTAAAATTGTTAAGGGCATCTAAGTGACGCTTCTAGGAGTCAAAAAGGGGTATTCTGCATTCATGTAAAAAATATATCAAAAAGTAGATGCTTTGAATGTGTCTTTTTTCCTGAAACAAAAGCCTGCATGAAAATGTTAAGATTATTCCTGACTGGTATCATTTTTAGTAAGCAGCTGGACACAGCCTGTAGTGTGAAGGTTTAAAGGACACCTGAATGTGAAATCTTCCCAGCCAGGTACATGTGCAAGATTCATAAACTGCTTTTTAAAAAAGATTTACGGTGAGGAATAGTTTTTAAAATCAGAATATTTAAAAATGTTGATTATATCACCTGTCTAGTTAAGAAAAACACCCTAGTCTGTTTTCCTTATCAGAGTATTCTCTATGTATAGATCTCTAAAAGTCAGAACTTCGTGTGACTTGGACAGTATGGTTTGCTATAATATAAAAAGGACACAGTAACATCTAACAGTCTCAACTGCTGGGATTCTGAGTAGCAAGGAAAATAGGTCTGTTAACTGCGAAAAACTGAGATTACTGAGTTAACAAGCTATGTTATCTAAATTCCCCTGGCAGGCTTCAGTTCTGTCTTATCTAAAGATAAAGTGAAAGGGGTGATAGGAACGCAGACCCAGTAATAGCTGCCAAGAGTTGAGAGATGAAGGTACGGTATGATAGTACAAAGCCACTTGATCCGTGGGCAGCCTACACAGAGACAAACTGACGCTGGTGATGTAGCCTCTGTGGCTGCCTTAAGATGCTGAAGTGCATGAAGAGAGGGCACTCTTGACTATAGTGGACTTTCCTCAAAAATTGTTTTTTGAGAGGCTGGCACTGTGGCATAGTGGTTAAGTTCAGCATGCTCCACTTCAGTGGCCTGGGTTTGGTTCCTGGGCACAGACCTACACCACTCATCAGTGGCCATGCTGTGGTGGGGACCCACATACAAAATAGAGGAAGACTGGCACAGATATAAACTCAGGGCAAATCTCCCTCAGCAAAAAAAGCCCACATTGTTTTTGAATACCTACCACTTTTGGAAACATTTTGAATCCAGTGCACAACTAATTATTCTGTTAATTAAAGTGGGTATTACAGGACTTCCACAAGTACACACTTTGGTTAGTTAGTTCCTATATATGCCTGTAAACAATAAAACTTCTTTTTCAATGTCCTCTAATTCAAACTGGCCTCCTTAATTATTCAGAATCAGTGATGTCTGCCATATGTTCACCTATGAGATCTTGTTCCCAAATTAACACTTCAAAACTTTATGGGATGTATCTTAATATCAAAGAGAAAGTGAAATTAAACAGATGGAAGATGAGATTAAACAGAAATACATGTGTTTGTTAATTCTCATTGTCAGTAAAAATACTAATAAGTTGGCACCTGTGTAGTAAATATCAGAATCTCTGTAGAGAAGAGTAAATAGTTGTGAAGAGTATACTTTACAAAACTCAAAGATGACCTCAGAGCTGTGGTCCAAGTCTGTGTTCCTCTAGCCACATGGGCCGCCATCCCGATCCTTTCCGCATGCTCCCACCGCAGTGCTTGCTGGGCTGGAAGCGCTGCCTTCCTCTGGGCTGCCTCTGGCATCAGTCCTGAGCTGGGCCTTTTCCACTGCCGGTGAACCTTCCACACTCTCTGACACCTCTTGGCCAGAGACAGGCTTAGTCAACTGGCTGCTTTTAGTACTGCTTTCTTCTGGGATTCCACCAATGTCTTTGGGCTTTGTATCCAAAAGAGAATTACATTTTGTTTTAATTGTTTAATGTAATGTGAAGGTTCAGTAATCAAACATGTTTAACAAGTTCCTATGCAGATCTATTGTAGCAAATGCTGAACTCTTTCAAATCCTGGTTCTAGCTCTGCACTGTAATATAAATGTCATTAAGCCTCAGAACTGTACATGGAGGAGGGGCACACTTAGGATATGCTAGGTGGTCTAGTGACCCAGCTTAGGAAGGTCAAGAGGATTGGTGACCAGTATGTGTAACTCCTCTTGCCTTGTGAGAATCCTCCATTCAACAATAATTTATTGAGCAGGTGTGAAGTTCCAGGTGCTAGGGATACAGCAGGAACAAAACAGACAAACACCCCTACATCCTCCCTGGAATTTACATTCAGGTTGGGAGACAATCAGGCAACAAACAAACTAACAAAGTATCATGTTGGAAGTGGGATGGGGGTGGTGGGGTCAGACTGCTATTCAAACCAGGGTGGTCTGAAAGGTGATCCGTGAGTAAAGACTTGGAGAAATGAGATGGAGGAATGACGTGAGTAAAGACTTGGAGAAATGAGATGGAGGAATGAACCATATGAATGTGTAGGGGAACAGCATCCTAGATAGTGAACAGCAAGTACAAAGGCTCTGAGTTCAAGGAATAGTCAGGAGCCTCTTGTGGCTAAAGCAGAGAATGAGTGTGGAGGGAGAGCAGGAGAAGACATCAGTGCAGTAAGGGAGAGGGGCGTGGGCAGATCAAGGAAGCCCTAGGCCACGGGCATAACTCTGGCTTTCCCTTCAAGCGAGATGAGAAGTCACTGGAGGATCTCTGAGATGTGATAACCATGAACAGATAACCATTAACTCTAAGGGCTGAAAGGAAAGGAACGTCTTGAAGTTTTCTAGTGCATGCAGACACGCTTATTCTCCTTAACGGGAGCTCCATGGGGAGGGATTCTATACTGTCCTAGATTCTACTGTGCTCACAACTATTTCTCAAAGGTTTATAGTTGTAACTTAAACTTTGCAAATGACAATACAAATTCCTCTCAAACAGAAATGGCCAATCATGGCGGAAAAACACCTCACCATTCCGCAGTTAAAAAGGACAGACTAGCCAGCCAATGATATAAAAGATTCAGGAAAGCGAAGGTTTTGATCCCTCCCCAGCCCACTCTTCCACCCAGCTCAGCCTTCAGGGCTCCCCTGGGGTTCCCGAGGGCTCCTGGGCTTCAGTGAGGAATCTTCTCTCTCTCTCCAAAGGCAGACATTTCAGTCGTGCTCACTTGTTGGTTTCCTATGAAATTTCATGAGTTAACCATCTGTTCTAGCAAACCACTGGTAAGTTCTTTTTAACATAAAAATTAAATCTCATTTTTTTTCTTCTGAGGAGGCTGGACTAACTTCTGACCAGAAAGGAGCAGAGAGAGTATTGAATAATTATATTATTAATGATATAATTAACTGTGAAGAGTCAAAGTCAGAGTAAAAACACTTAATCAAAAGCTTACAGGAAGCACTTAGGCCTAGTATGAAGAGACAGCAAAATAAACAGTTGGTGACTTACACTGGGTACCACCTTGGGATGCTCTCTCACCTCTGCGTCTGGTAAGTCACAGGCCCGGAGTACTTCAGGGTTCTTATTGCCAGTCTGAAGTCTCAAGTCAACATCTCTCTCTCTCAAAACATCTCTTCTACCCTCATATGTTCTGTCATAAGGGCCTCTATAATAGAAATCTGCATCACCTGCTCCACCAAGGGGTCTCTTATCATCTGGCTGAAGTGGCCGGGGCGGTTCTCTTTCAGGACCACCTAAAGGTCTCAGCATACTAAGTGATTTTCCAGTACCATAGCAGAAACTCTAGAAGGAAAAGACACACATATTCCTGAGTACTTTAATGGCTGACTTAAAATGAAATTATGAGGTGTTTCACTCAGGGTGCTAACAAAATTATGTAATTTAACTTGTGGCATTTCTACGCATAAACATATTAATTTCACTGGTTTTTCATTAGAGATCTCTTCTTTAGATAAATAAGGACCAGAGTAGCCAATAAAATTTGAGAAATCACTAGGTATTGAGTAGACATTTCAATCAGCTGGATACATTTTGATTGAATTATATAATATGGCAATTTGGCTAAAGCCTAGAAATTTAAATTGGAAGGTATTAATTGATAATTGCTCATATGTTGTCTATATCCACATGGATCATATAAGGTAAATGCTGAAAATTATTCAAAGTTGTACCTCATGTAAACATTCCCCTATAAGTTAGTTTTTTTTTTTCAAACACAAACTTGGCTTTAGCTACAGCTAAAATTCAAGAGGCTTTGAGTCACATTCCACGGGAAAAACTAGGCAGCAGTTCTCCAAGTGTGGCCCAGGGAGCCCTGGGGGAATCCCTGAGACTCTTTCAAGGACCTGTGAAGTCCAAACTTGTCATAGTACAAAGACATCAGTCTTTTTCACTCTTCACTCTGCGTGTACAGTGGAGTCTTCCGGGGCTAGAATGACTTCCTCACTCTGATGGCTCACGGGCTGTGTGCTTGGGTATACTTGCATTTTAGATATTTCTGAATTTTAAATTCCTAACAATAGTAAATATCAATAAATAAAACCCCTATAAACAAGTGCTCTTTGTGGGCTTCAATTCTTAAGAATGCAAAAGGGTCCTGAGAACAAAAAGGGGGAGAATCCCTGCCTTAGAGATACTACTGTTTGAAGACAGAAGCAGCAAAACGCCTTTTCTTAGGCAGCACATGAAGGAACAAGAGATGATGGGGTTTTTGCTTTTAATTTCAGTTGCAGAAACTAACAAAACCATACCTCTAAACTACTAAATCCTGTAATCATAAGCCAAAAAACAAAAGCAAAGCAATAATAATTCCCAAGTGAATAGGGCATGGTGAATTTTGTATCCTTAGGGAAGACAATACTTTAATAATCTCCCATGGCACACACGAGTTCTTTACATGTTGTTTTACGTGACAGCTGCTATATTTGGGTGAGGGCTGAAAATCAACAACAAAAAAGCTGAAGAGACTGTAGATGAATGATGAGTAATATTTTTTCTTAGATGTCTGCTGCTGGATCCCCAAACTGTTTCTCAATACACCTACCTTCTTCCACATCTCTTTCTGATTCTGTGTTAAACCAAATGGTGCTTCCTTCTCAGTGGTGCAAAAACTCAGAGTGAAATAAGAAGGGCCCCTTTCTCAAAGATGATATAAACAATTGATCTCATGTGTATTAATTTACCAAGCTTAAAGAATAAATTTAAAAAGAGGTTATTATTCTAAATCACTGCTTTGACATCCACAATCAAACTTGAGAACCACTTCCTTGCTCAGAGGAATACACATGTAAGTATAAATAAATTTCTATCACTTAAAAATCTTTTCATACCATTAAGCATGATTTAGCCTGATTTATAACATCCAATCAAAGCAGCCTAATCATTTTAGAATTGTCTCTTTTCTGTCAGTCCTGTAATTGTTACTGGTGCTGTCTACTCACCAGGACAGCTAACGCCACAGTTATCAGCACCGGAACGTGCAGGATCACTGGGATCTCCTTCATGAGCGCTCTAATAAACTCACCAGACCCTTTTCCAATGTACTTCAGCGGCTCCGTCACAAAGTTGGTGAATGTAACGGCCAGTGCCTAAAACAAAAAAGCAAGCAACTTAACTTTTTCCTCAAAGGACTGAGGCACTTACAATGAGCCAAAATTCACTGTGCACCAAGGCCGAGATTATGTTACATAAATTTAAATGTTGTCAGATGCGTTTAATGTGAAAATCACTGTGTACCAGAAGTATTTTTCTAGAACAAAGGTTTACTATTAGCAAAATGACTAAAACAACAATTTTTAATAGATACAAGAGCTTTTTACTTACTTTTATATACGTAATTTTTACAAAATATATTCTATACCTTTGTTGGTGGGACCAACAAAATAGGGTTGACTAATAAGAGCTCATAGTATTTTTGGCAGGGGTCATCCTTATAGGTCCATGAACTTCTAAACCATTCTATTTAGAGAAACAGACAAAACACTGAGTCATTAAAAAAAAAACAACATTTCATTCCCAAATAAGACAATATTTTGGTTTTAACTCTCCTCCTCCTCCAATTTTACAATGTTTTACAAATAGACTCCTTCTCATGGTGATTTTTAAAATTTTCATCTAATGTCCAAAATGTTTATTTAAAAAATTCATTCAAATTATACAAGCCTTACGTAGATAAAATATATTTTATGAAGATTTCTAAAAGGCAGATGATTAAAAGCAGTTCTTTACACACACAAATGAATCCAAGTAAAACTTGGGAGATCGGAATAAGATTGGTGGATTGTATCAAAGTCAACATGCTGGCAGTAACATGGTACTATTATAGTTGTTCAAGGGGTTTCCATTGGGGGAAATGGACAGGGTACACAGGATCTCACTGTATTATTTCTTACAACTACCTGTGAATCTACAATTATCTCAATAAACTTTCAATTTAAAAAGTCACTTATTTATTTATTTCACAAAATAAAGTAGAACATTAATTCTCCCAATTTTTTAAAATCAGGCTTATATTCATGATGTACGAGTCTGAGCTAGAGGAGGCATTTAGTTGGCCCCTGAAGCAAGGAAACAAAGCTGGATTGATTTCATTCCCACAACTTTTTAAGAAACATTAACTGTGGACACTTTGATTCGTAGAATCTGCTGAGACTCTATTCTGGGTCAGTCATTACAGACTTGCATTTATGAAGTGGCTTTGAACATTAAACCATTCTCATTGCTACATATACATAACTAAAGGCAGTCAATATCAGTGAGAATGTTTAAAAATCTGTAAGAAAAAATGAAAGTAAAATAATTTTCCCCTTAGTAAAAAAAATAGTATAGTAAAGCTAGAATATAAGATTTCATAAGTCAATATAAGGAGATTAAATCTAAGATGCATATTAATTCCTATATACATTGATTCCCTTCTCTAATAAACTTCTGTTGAGGACCCAGAATGCACTAAGCATTGTGCTAAGAACTAAATGAACACAAGTGGGCACAGGCTCCTTCAGTCTAAAGGAGGAGACAAGTAACGTCAGACAGCATGTATGCAGCTTCTCCTCCTTCCCTGTGGCATTGCTATTACATGAACACACAAGTCACTGGTCTGAAACTAAGTCTCTTCTTGCACGTTCTTCTGAAACTAAAGAGTCAGTCATGGAAATCCTCTTTCTGGCATTTTATCATTTTTTTGTAATTATGAATATGTCTTCTCATTCTCAGAAATTCTACTTAAAATAAGGCCAAGTGAACCAACACCTTACCCCAGATACTTCCAGTCCAGTCCATCTTCTCAACACACACATTGTCTAATGGCTTCATCTTGGCAACTTCGGCCTGATGCTGTGCGAAGGCTACCTGACCAAGACCAGAAGGGAACATCAAAGGCTACTAACGATGGCCATTATGCCAACATGTCCAAAAACCCACATTCAAAGTGTATCTTCCCCATTCATCCAAACCAGATTGTTTGCCAATTTTTAATAGAAAAAAAAAAATTATTTTTTAAGAGTAGCTCTTTTCAGCTCATGGCAAAGCACAGTCTTAATGCAACAAGTAAGGATAAAGCACCAACTACAATTGTCTTGTTTGTAAGTAATTATGAGGAAGGAAAACCTTTTTCCTAACAAGATTGTTTTAAAAATTAGTTCAAATATAGTTCATCCCATGCCCCCAAATATAGCTATACATATTAAATGACTACTCATTTTCTTTTACAATTCATGACAAAATGGTGTTTTGCTTTGGATGGTTTTCAGCACAAATGACCAATATAAAGATAATTTAGCTTTAGAAATCGAAGCCTCAGGAGAAAGCATTAAGATAACAATATTCAACCAAACAACATCCTTTCCTCCAATTTATAAATAAGTAGTTCTAGAAGCTATAGAACTTAGAGAAAAGGTTAATGAAATATCATAATGATTTAATCAGATGAATTCAATGAAAACAGTTGGCTAATAGACTCTGACCTTGCTAGAAAGATCTAAAATTTTCCTTCAACGATTATGCTGTTTTGACAGGAACAGTAGTGCTTTCTTTGAATTTCTATATATAGCATGATCCCAATTTTGCAAGAAATCAAATTCAGAAACAAGATTGGAAATAAATACCTCAAAATATTGACAATGATTATCTCCAGGTGATAAAATTATAGGTGATTTTAAAAAACTAGATTTCTCTGTATCTTTCTGTCTTTTCTAAATTCTCTACCATGAACTTTTATATTCACTTATATTAAGAAAATAACCTCAATTTTTTAAATGATATTTTAGTATCATTTCTACCAAAGAATAGAGGGTCATACCCCAAATTACCTACATAAGAATTTTTAAATGTGTCTACCTAGCTCTATTCTGTTTTAGCTGTCCAGATGCCACCCATCAGGAACTGGGTTATGAAAACTAGGACTGCACTTTTTTCCCCACTAACTGGTCAAGGACCCAAAAAACCAGGTACACCTGAGAAGTTGCCATTTTCCTCCCCCAACCATCTCCAATCACTGCCTCCCATCCTCACCTGAGGCAAGATTACATACTAGCTCCAAATAGATGACAGTCTTATTATAAAACATTTTTAAATTTTAAAACCTTCCACCTATTTAATACCTTATATAAATACATCCAATTCCATCCCAAACTGAAGACAAAACTGATGACAAAAACACGTTTCAACTGAGTGTACCAACGAACATACGTCCACAGCTCGGTAGCTACTAATATCACGATGCAGAGCAGACACAGAAGCACCTCAAAAACAGAGAGAAGAGAAAGCAGGGTCACTGCCAAGCCGTTCTCCCCACCAGAAAACGCTCATTGTCAGCAACACCAAAAGAACTGAACTCAAATACGCAGAATCACGTGTAGCATTTTCCTGCACGTTCAATGCAGTACCAGTGACTTAGTACAAGTTCTTACCCTAATTATGGTGGAGTTTTAAAAGTATCTAAAAAAGAAACTGTTAATCTGTCCACCTCATCCCATCTTACCATCAACACATTATATGGATCCACTCCAAAGGCATCTTTAAATCGCCACTTCCATGCTTCGAAATCATGAAACTTAAAATTAACTAAAATATCACTTAGGGCATCATCCAAGGCTCCTGGTTTCCAATCCTCTCCATTGAGAAACTTCTGTATTTCTAACAAGGTTTGTCTTTTAAGTATAATCTCGGCATCATAATGCATGTCACCTTTGTTTTCATCAGGCTGAATTAAATTTGCAAAAAGAGAAAAAAACAGAAAAGGAATTTTATTGTTATATTACTCAGTGAAATATTTTAAGACAAAAGCTAATTTGGAAATGATATACAATTAGTTTACAGTATTTCACACCTATAAAATATGAGTAATAATATCTACTTGTCTGTCTCATAGGCCAACATGAAAATCAAAGATAATACATGTGTGAAAAACATTTCAAAAATTATAAAACTCCATGCAAGTACATTTTACTAAAAATCCAGTTGATTCTCGCTATCTACAATAGTTATGTTCTATAAAGTCACCTTGAACACCTGCTTCCATTTAAAGACATCTTAATATATATTGTTGATTCATTAACACTGAACTCATGGCCAACGGCACTGTAACTCACGCCTGAACCAAGCTTAACTAGCAAGGGAATTTTCTCTGTAACGCACATCACAGCTTTCTTGTGCTTAGGAACACTAGACAGCACTATACTTGGGAGCCATATAAACAGCAAAACCACCAAAAAAAAAAAAAAGAAAGCACAAAAAATGTAGCACTAAACAGACCAGGAAAAAGTACTTGTTTATAGTATGAGAACTGAAACAAGGCAGAATGTGGCCTTGTTTGACCTCAGCTGAGAATGGGCTTATCATACAACTCAAATATTCTGCTGCTCTGCGCATATCCAACAGTGACCACAGAAGCACCACGAGTATTGATTTTGGGGTTACAAATAAAGTTTAGTGAGTAGGCAAATTCGCAAATACAGAATCCACCATAACGAGGAGCGACTGTCTATTTTATGATTCAGTTTATGACTTTCCATTTGCTGACACAGTTTTCAGATTGCCTAAAATTTGCAGCAGTACAAATAAGAAAAAAAGGGACCTCAAAAAGCAGCAAAATCTGGGATCCCAAGAACATGCATGACATTTATAACTATCTTTATTAGTGTGAGTTCAGGTTAACAAAATCACTATAAACTTTTTACATTTATTAACCAGTTAATACAAATAAGAGAAATTCTTTTTTCTTTTATAGGAGTAAATGCAGATATTTATATAAAAAAATGTAAAATGAGAAAGACCAAACTGTCATGTAATAACGCAAATCATCAGTACGCATAAAAAAAGCAGTCATTGATGAACATTTTTTTTATTGAGTTCATAAGCGTTTACATCAATGTGAGATTTCAGTTGTACATTATTTCTTGACAGTCACCACATAAGTGCTCCCCTTCACCCCCTGTGCCTACCCTCACTCCCCTTCCCCTGGTAACCAGTGAACTGTTTTCTTTGTCCATGTGTTTGTTTATATTCCACATATGAGTGAAATCATCTAGCACTTGTCTTTTTCAGTCCAGCTTATTTTGCTTAGCATAATTCCCTCCAGGTCCTTCCACGTTATTGCAAATGGGATGAATTTGTCTTTTTTAATGGCTGAGTAGTATTCCATTGTATATATATATACCACATCTTCTTTATCCAATCATCAGTCGATGGGCACTTGGATTGTTTCCACGTCTTGGCTATTGTGAATAGTGCTGCAATGAACAAAGGGGTGCATATGTTACTTTGGATTGTTGATTTCAAGTTGTTTGGGTAGATATCCAGTAGTAGGATAGCTGGGTCGTACAGTAGTTCTATTTTTAGTTTTCTGAGGAATCTCCATATTGTTTTCCACAGTGGCTGTACCAGTTTGCGTTCCCACCAGCAGTGTATGAGGGTTCCCTTTTCTCCACACTCTCTCCAACATTTGTTGTTTTTAGTCTTAGGGATTATAGCCATTTCAACAGGCATAAGGTGGGATCCTAGTGTAGTTTTGATTTGCATTTCCCTGATGATTAGTGATGTTGAACATCTTTTCATGTGTTTCTTGGCCATCTGTATGTCTTCTTTGGAAAAAGGTATGTTCATATCCTCTGCCCACTTCTTGATGGGGTTGTTTTTTTTATCATTCAGTTGTGTGAGTTTCTTACATATTATGGAGATTAACCCCTTGTCAGATATATGATTTGCAAATATTTTCTCCCACTTGGTGGGCTGTCTCTTTGTTTTCATTCTAGTTGCTTTAGCCTCTTTAGTCTGATGAACTCCCACTTGTTTAGATTTTCTTCTGTTTCCCGTGTCTGAGAAAACATGGTATTTGAAAAGATGCTTTTTAGTTCAATGTCAAAGAGTATATTACCTATATTATCTTCCAGGAGTTTTATGGCTTCAGGACTTATCTTCAAGTCTTTGATCCATTTTGAGTTTATTTTTGTGTATGGCATGAGATAATGGTCTACCTTCATTCTTTTGCATGTGGCTGTCCAGTTTTCCCAACACCATTTATTGAAGAGACTATTTTTTCTCCATTCTATGTTCTTGGCACCTCTGTCAAAGACTAGCTGTCCACAGATGTGCAGTTTTACTTCTGGGCTTTCAGTTGTGTTCCACTGATCTGTGTGCCTGTTTTTGTACCAGCTCCATGCCATCTGGATCACTATGGCTTTGTAGTACATTTTGAAGTCAGGGATTGTGATACCTCCAGCTTTGTTCTTTTTTCTCAGGATTGCCTTAGCAATTCGGGGGTCTTTGGCTGCCCCATATGAATTTTAGGATTCTTTGCTCTATTTCTGTGAAGAATATCATTTGGATTCTGATTAGGATTGCACTGAATCTGTAGACTGCGCTGGGTAGTATGGACATTTTAACTATGTTCATTCTTCCAATCCATGAGCATGGAATCTCTTTCCATCTCTTTATATCATATCAATTTCTTTCAGCAATGTCTTATTGTCTTCATTGTATAAGTCCTTCACCTCCTTGGTTAAATTTACTCCTAGGTACTTTATTCTTTTAGTTGCAATTACAAATGGAATTGTATTCTTGAGTTCTCTTTCTGTAAGTTTGTTATTGGAGTATAGAAAAGCAACTGATTTTTGTAAGTTGATTCTGTACCCTGCAACTTTACTGTAGTTGTTAATAACTTCTATTAGTTTTCTGATAGATTCTTTGGGGTTTTCTATATATAAGATCATGTCGTCTGCAAACAGCAAGACTTTCACTTCTTCACTCCCTACTTGGATTCCTTTTTATTCTTTTCTCTTGCCTAATTGCTCTGGCCAAAACGTCCAGTACTATGTTGAGTAAGAGTGGTGATAATTGGCACGCTTGTCTTGTTACTGTTCTCAGAGGGATGGCATTCAGTTTTTGCCCAGTGAGTATGATGTTGGCTGTGTATTTGTCATATATGGCCTTTACTATGTTGAGGTGATTTTCTTCTATCCCCGTTTTGTTAAGAGTTTTTATCATAACTGGCTGTTGGATCTTGTCAAATGCTTTCTTTGCATCTATTGAGATGATCATGTGGTTTTTATTCTTCAATTTGTTGGCATGGTGTATCACATTGATTGATTTGCGGATGTTGAACCATCCCTGTGTCCCTGGTATAAATCCCACTTGATCATGATGTATGATCCTTTTGATGAATTGCTGAATTCGGGTTGCCAAAATTTTGTTGAGGATTTTTGCATCCATGTTCATCAGTGATATTGGCCTGTAGTTTCTTTTTTTGTGCTGTCCTTGCCAGGCTTTGCTATCAGTGATGTTGGCCTCATAGAATGTGTTAGGAAGTGTTCCATCCTCCCTAATTTTTTGGAATAGCTTGAGAAGGAAAGGTATTAAATCCTCTCTGAAAGTTTGGTAGAATTCTCCAGGGAAGCCATCTGGTCCTGGGGTTTTATTCTTTGGGATGCTTTTGATTACTGTTTCAATCTCTTTCCTTGTGATTGGTCTATTCAGATTGTCTGTTTCTTCTTGATTCAGCTTTGGGAGGTTGTAAGAGAGTCTAAGAATTTATCCATTTCCTCTAGATAATCCATTTTGTTGGCATATGGTTTTTCGTAGTATTGTCTTATAATCCGTTGTATTTCTGTGGAGTCTGTTGTTATTTCTCCTCTTTCATTTCTGATTTTGTTTATCTGAGCTTTCTCTCTGTTTTTCTTTGCAAGTCTGGCTATGGGTTTGTCAATTTTATTTATCGTCTCAAAGAACCAGCTCTTTGTTTCACTGATCCTTTCTACCACCTTTCTTGTTTCAATAGCATTTATTTCTGCTCTGATTTTTATTATTTCTCTCCTTCTGCTGAATTTGGGCTTTGTTTGTTCTTCTTTTTCTAATTCAGTTAGGTGTAATTTGAGATTGCTTATTTGGGAATTTCCTGTTTGTAAAAGTATGCCTGTATTGCGATAAATTTTCCTCTTAATACAGCTTTTGCTACATCCCATATGAGTTGGTATGCTATGTTTTCATTTTCATTTGTCTCCAGATATTTTTTGATTTCTCCTTTAATTTCTTCAATGATCCATTGCTTGTTCAATAACATGCTGTTTAGTCTCCACATCTTTGTCCCTTTCTCAGTTTTCTTGTAATTAATTTCTAGCTCTACAGCATTATGATTGGAAAAGATGCTTGCTATTATTTCAATTTTCTTAAATTTATTGAGGCTTGCCTAGTTTCCCAACATATGGTCTATCCTTGAGAATGTCCCGTGCGCACTTGAGAAGAATGTGTATTCTGCTGTTTTTGGATGGAGTGTTCTATATATGTCTATTAAGCCCAACTGGTTTAGCTTTTCATTTAATTCTACTGTTTCCCTGTTGATTTTCTGTCTGGATGATCTATCCATTGATGTGAATGGAGTGTTGAGGTCCCCTACTATTATTGTGTTATTAATATCTTCTTTTAGGTTTGTTAATAGTTGCTTTATGAACTTTGGTGCTCCCATGTTGGGTGCATAGATATTTATAAGCGTTATTTCTTCTTGATGGAGTGTCCCTTTGATCATTATATACTGCCCCTCTTTGTCTCTCTTTACCTGTCTTATCTTGAAGTCTACTTTGTCTGATATAAGTAACATGACACCTGCTTTCTTTTGTTTGCCATTAGCTTAGAGTATCATCTTCCACCCCTTCACTCAAAGCCTGTGTTTGTCATTGGAGCTGAGATGTGTTTCCTGGAAGCAGCAAATTGTTGGGTCTTGCTCTTTAATCCATTTCACCACTCCACGTCTTTTTATTGGAGAGTTCAATCTGTTTACATTGAGGGTGATTATTGATGCATGAGGGCTTAATGATGTCATCTATCACGCATTTTCTGGTTCTCCTGCATTTCCTTTGTTTCTTGTCCTGTGTGTTTTAGTCTACCCATTGAATTATGTAGTTTTTTATGATGTGTTTCTTTGTTTTCTCCTTATTTATTTTTTGCGTCTCTGTTCTGCTTTTTTGTTTAGTGGTTACCCTGAGGTTTGTATTCAGAATCTCATGTATAAGATAGTCCATTTTCTGATGGCTTCTTTTTCCCTTAGTCTAAACTGATTCAGTCCCTTTCCTCCTCCTCTCCTAGATTGTTTTACTCATATCTTATTCCAACTTGTGTTGTGAGTTTGTGGTTAAAATGACAGGATTATCTTTATTTTTGGTGTTTTCCTTCCCTTTAGCTTAATGCTATAGTCGAATATTTGCTATCCTATGCTGATTCTGTCTACCTATTTATCTCCTTACTCTGTGTTTTGTGACCCCCTTTCTCCCCCATTTTTTTCCTTCAGGTATGAGGGCCTTCTTGAGGATTTCTTGTAGGGGGGGTGTCTCGCAGCTACAAAGTCCCTTAGCTTTTGTTTGTCTGGGAAAGTTTTAATTTCTCCCTCATATCTGAAGGATATTTTTGCTGGATAGAGTATTCTTGGCTGAATATTTTTATCTTTTAAAGATTTGAATATGTTGTTCCATTCTCTCCTAGCTTGTAAGGTTTCTGCAGGCAAATCTGCTGAAAGCCTGATAGGGGTTCCTTTGTAGGTTATTTTCTTCTGACTTACTGCCCTTAGTATTCTTTCTTTGTCATTCATTTTTTCTAGTTTTACTACTATATGCCTTGCAGTAGGTCTTTTTACATCGACAAATCTAGGAGATCTGGAAGCCTCTTCCACACAGATTTCCCTCTCTTTCCCTAGATTTGGGAAGTTCTCTGTTATTTCTCTGAACATGCTTCTGCTCCATTCTCCTCTTCTTCTGGAATACCTATAATTCTTTTTTTTTTTTAAAGATTTTATTTTTTTCCTTTTTCTCCCCAAAGCCCCCTGGTACATAGTTGTATATTCTTAGTTGTAGGTCCTTCCAGTTGTGGCATGTGGGATGCCGCCTCAGCATGGTTTGATGAGCAGCGCCATGTCCGCGCCCAGGATTTGAACTGACAAAACACTGGGCCCACTGCAGCGGAGCGCGCTAACTTAACCACTCAGCCACAGGGCCAGCCCGAATACCTATAATTCTTATGTTGCATTTCCTCATTGAGTCAGATATTTCTCAGAGACTTTCTTAATTTCTTTTTAGTCTAGGTTCTCTCTCCTTCTCTGTCTGGAGCATTTCACATGTTTATCTTTGATTATGCTGATATGCTCCTCTATGATGTCTGCCTAAGCATTCAGGGAATCCATATTTTGTTTTATCTCTTCCACTGTATCTTTCATCTCTAATATTTCTGATTGATTCTTCTTTATAGTTTCAATCTCTTCTGTGAAGTAGCTCCTGAACTCGTCGAACTGTTTGTCTACATTCTCTTTTACCTAGTTGAGTTTTTTGATGATAGCTATTTTTAATTCATTGTCAATTAGCTTTCATATTTCTGTGTCCTCAGGACTGAATTCTGGGTGTCTGTCATTTTCTCTCTGGTCTGGAGACTTGATGTAGTGTCTGATGTTACAGGAGGTGGGTAGGGATTTTCACAATCTGATATTATTTGCCTGCAGTTACCATCTATTGCCACTGGGTGGGGGCCAAGAGCCACATATTCTGAGCCCTCTGCCTTCAGCCAAGATCCCAGGCAGTGGAACTGGCTGGGGGGGGGGGCGGGGAGGAGCGCTTTCTCCTGTGTGTTCTCCGGGCCTTCTTGCTCTCACTATTTGGTCTCCTGGGGTGTTGCTTGATGAGGTCACTCCCCCCCCCACCCCGTAAAAGCCTTCACCCTGTTAAAGGGGGTCCCTCTAGACTACAAGGGCTCTAGGGAGTCCTTGTTCCTGTGAATAAGCATTCCCCTCCCCAACTCCTTCTCTCACGGATCCTCCCAGGGTTGCTATTGCAGTCTTTAGGAGCAGGAGAGAAGTTCTCTCTTACCCCGTTCCAGCTCCTCTGAGCGGGGCTCCAGCCTCTCCACCCTCCATTGTACGGCTGCGTGTCTCTCTGACATTTTTGTGTTATGCTAGGATGTCCTTTGCTGGAGTATGGCCTTTTCATTGTATGCCCCTTTTCATTGTATGTTGGAGGGGAGAAAGTCCTGGGAAAGTTCATTCCACCATGATGCTGACATCCTTGATGAATATTTTTTAAAAATCAGGAACCAAATATTCCAAGCATCTCCCTGTTAGGTATTTTCTGGCTCCATCCATTTCCTCATCTATAAAAGAGGTCCTGTTTCACCTCTCACAGAGTTCTAAGACTCGAATCAAAGGGTGCACATATAAGAACATTTACATTTCCAAAATACAGTGGGATTATTAAAGCATTCATCTAACACTCCTTTCCCTTAAGTTTTCTTGATGTTTTGACTCCCAAAATGAAAACTATGGTTCTAAAAAGGGGAATCTTAACATTCATTATGAACAATACGCACACAATACATAATTCGATAAAGCAGCACTTGCCACAGTAAACAGCTAGGGGAACAAACTACTTAAAACGTTTTTCTTTTCCTCAACACATAATGATCTTACATCACCTGAATAAGTAAGTGTGGAAGTGATGGAGAACAGGAAGTAAAGACCAGGACAGAATTTCCTTACCAAGGCAGGAGTTTATTAAGTTTCCAACTATTTAGTAAAGTTTTAATAGCAAATTTAAAACAACCCTCCCAACTCAATTAAGTGATACCGCAGGGCACAAAATTGAAGAAGTAACTCCCCATGAACTATAAGATAAAAAAGGAGTGGTCTGTACTGCCTGCCCGTCTTCCACCAGACCCTGTAAAGCAGGCTGGTACCTTTTGAACAGGTTCTGATAAAAGGGTGAGTCACATGTTCTGTTAAAGTATAATGATGCTTTCCCACTGCTCTACATAATTTGAAATTAATAAATAACGAAAACATCCACTATACTGATAAGTGTGACACCACCAGATACTCACAAGTCCGAGCTTTCTGGTTTCAGTTAAGATCTTATTTAAGTATCTCCTGAAAACAGGATTGCTTTGACTTTCATAGTCTTTCCTCTTTTTCTTTTCACATTCATCAATCTGTAATCACAAAATAAATACAACATTAGTTAGCATCAAAGTTTAACATAAGGGTCAAGTTTCTAGCCTAGTGGCCCCAACAAGATCAAGGTAAAGAGCTGGCTAGTTTTATCAAGCTTGCATTGAAATGTGGAGCTTGCCTGCTTGCTGCAGGTTCTCTTTGCCAAGGGCAAGCAGGCAAGGAATGAGGAACTCCTGTCCAGCACTTCACCCTGACGGCAGTTTTTCTGCTGACTTTCAGCAATTTTAAAGCTGAAAATCAGGAAGCAAGAGGAAGAGCTGTGGATAAGCAGAGCACCTGGAGCAAGCTGCCTCTTCCTAATTCCAAAGTAATGACTTAACAAACAAAGGAATGAAAGGAGGAATGAAAGAAAGAAAAAACAGACGGAGAGACAGAGAAAGAGAAATAGAGACAGGGTGAAGCCAGAAGATGAAATGAAGGACACAGAAAAGAGTTTCTTGAATGTGCATATTACTTTTGGCCTTTCATTAATTTTTCCTGTCAACAAGTGATCATCCCCTCCCATAAGGGATGCTTCAGGAAGGCAGGAACCACGGCTTCTCCAGAGTGTCCTACACATGGCAACCCCTCAGCACATAATTCTTCATTAGAACAGACCTCCTATGCCCTTGGCCCTACAAATGCCGCAGGGTCACTGAGGGAGGGCAGCGAATATTTTACAGACCTTACACCTTGTGATAAGCAACTTTTGTTTTCAAATTGAGTGTGGACCACGAGTTGAGCTGAGCACAGAAATGGGCTTCAGATGATAAAACATGACAGTAACTGAGCAGCACACAGACTCAGGACAGAAGGACACTAGAGAAATCATGTGGCAGTTTCCTCTGGTTTCAGGAAGGTTTAGAAACCTTTTAAAATTTGTAAATTTCTCTTTTTTTTTTATTTTATTTATTTATTTTTATTTTTTTGAGGAAGATTAGCCCTGAGCTAACATCTGCCACCCATCCTCCTCTTTTTTGCTAAGGAAGACTGGCCCTAAGCTAACATCCATGCCCATCTTCCTTTACTTTATATGTGGGATGCCTGCCACAGCATGGCCTGACAAGTGGTGCATAGGTTCGCACCCGGGATCCGAACTGACAAACCCCGGGCCACCAAAGCAGAATGTGTGAACTTAACTGCTGCGCCACCAGGCTGGACTCTGTAAATTTCTCTTTAAAAGAAACCATTTTTTTTAAAACAAGGACTCAAGACTCCATTTTACCAATCATGTTTTTACAATGTTTGAACCAAAGTCACAAACAATGGAAGGAAAAATTTCTATAAAATGGCATTTCTGCCTTTCCACTGAGCAGCCAAACTAGCTCACTACACACAAAACGCAGTCAAACTGAGGCCAATCTTATCCAAGCACGTCTCTGCTAACACTCGGGCGGGACAACACTCACGTTTGATAAGAACCACACATTGTGCTTAGGGTTCTCGACCTGAGACATGGCGGCATCTCAATTACCAAGCTCTCCCTCCCAGTCTCTCAGGCTGGAAACCTCCCTTGTTCTAACTCTTCCTTCTCCTTTTTTCCTCCTCCCTCAGATACCAAAACTTGCCTATTCTACCTTGGAAAAGTTGAATGCTTCCTTTTCTCCTCAACCCCTGTCACTGCCACAATCGGAGCCTTCAGCACTGCTGGACCTCTGCCACCCCCTCTCCATCCCAGGCCCCCTCCAGATGCCACCAGCCCACCCTACCCACACAACCAACAGAGGCTGGTGCCCATGGCATAACAGATATCAAACCCCTTAACAATCATGACTTATTTCCTTTCTCATAAACTCCACTTCAGCCATATAAATAAAAGGATTGAATAAATGAAGGAAGAGCTACCATACACTAAATTATAGTAATCCCTTATATTTGTAAGAGTAACTCTTATGCTTATAAGCTGCTAATAGGCTCATTTCTTCATTTGCTACATCTGTCATGAATCTACTAAGCCCCATCACTGTGACAGGTGACAGAGAATCATGAAAGAATAAATATATTCCTTGTCCCCAGAAATTTTCAGTCTGGTAAAGAAATAATTACAACATAGTGAGATAAATGTTATCACCGGAACATAAAAGTACTATTTAAAAAAACCCAAAGCCAGAGTAACTAAAGAAAAAGTTATACATATATAAATTGCACATCACATAGAAACACAAATTATGTTAGCAAAGACAGGAAAATAGAGAGCAATTTAACATACTATAAGTAGCATAAAATTCAAGAATGAACAAAATCTAACCTCATGAGTTAAAGAATCAACTTTGCTGTAACATTCTGACAATTCATCAGCATATGACAAGTCGGAACTGATTTCGTTTTTCTCTGATATATCATATTTCACCTAAAGCAAAGGAGAGAGAGATTTTATTTCTTTACAGTTCAGTTGTAAAAACAACCTGCAGCTAACGAAGACTAAAATTTGGCTTCATCATTTTATGACTTTGCTTGTTACACTCTTCAATTGTACTGAACCACCAAAAGAGTAAGAGTCTCAAATGTATATACTAGCTAAGAACTAAAATCAGTTTGCTGCTTGATGGGCTTCACATTTACATTTGAAACAGAAATAACCAGGAGGGGTTGAAATCATCTTAGACTAAGAGAGTCAGAAAGATATTCTGCCTGATTGCTAATCATTGATAGATGACTCTCACAGCTCTGTGTAAAACAATAACAAAAATAGACTATTTCCATCGTAGGACTGATAAGGGCTCACACTCACACATGCGTTTTCTTTAATACCTGAGATTTTCTCATTGTTCCTGAAGTAGCATCATAGTTAAGCATGTCTGTGGGGTCAATCCAGTCATCATCATGAGCATAACCAGTTATCAGCCACAGACACTCACAAAGGAGCAGAGAACACAGCATCCTGCATGAGGGCTAAAAAAATTTTTAATAGATATAATAAAATAATTATTTTTAGAAGAAATTGTTTTGTAATAAAATCTTCCTCCTAGTGCTAAGACAATGTTTTCCTTCTGAATAACAACTGAAATCAAAATACTCAATAAAATGGTATTCACATAGAAATACATACACATAGGCACACATTCTCATTGAGACAAAAAGAAAATAAGTCTTTTTCCATATGATTCAGCAATTTCATTCCTAGGCATATACCCAAGAGAAATGAACATATATGACCACACAAAAACTTGTACACATATGTTTACAGCCACATTATACACAAAAGCCAAAAAGTAGAAACAACCCAAATGTCCATCAAGTGATGAATGAATAAATAAAATGTGATATATCCATACAATGGAATATTAGGTCATAAAAAGGAATGAAGTACTGACACATGTCACAGCATGGATGAACCTTGAAAACATTATGCTATGTGAAACAAGCCAGACACAAAAGACCACATATTATATGATTCCAGTTATATGAAATGTCCAGAATAGGCAGATCTATAGAGACAGAAAGCAGATTAGCAGGTGCTTAGAGCTGGGGATATATAAGGGACAGAGGGGTGCTAGCTAAAGGGTAATGGGTTTCTTTTTGAGGTGATGAAAAATGATCTAAAACTGATAGTGGCGATGGTTGTACAAATCTGTGAATACGCTAAACACTACTGAATTGTACACTTTAAATGGGTGAATTGTAAAGTATGTGAATCATTTCTCAGTAAACTGGTAAAAAAAATAAAACAGGCATTTTAACCAAACCTTCCCATTTTTTTTTAACAAATGCAAAAGAAAAGTGCAAAATTAAGATTCAAATGAGGTGACTGAACTCCCAAACATTCAGAAAAAATAATTTGCTACATCTAAGCCTCTGCATAAACACTCTCAAACCATTTCAACACTTAATACTTCCTCAATTCAACAGTGTCCAATACAGTAGCTACTAGCCACATGTGGCTAGTCAAATTTAAATTAAGTAAAATTAAAAATTCAATTCCTCGTTCAGACTAGCTGCATTTCAAGTGCTCAAAAGCCACAGTGGCTAGCGGCCACCATATTGGACAGTGCAGATACGAAACATTTCCATCACTGCAGAAAGTTCTGTTGGACAGCTTTTCTTATGCCCACTACATATGAGAATCAGGTAAGGGAATTCCAAGATGAGAAAGCCCTGGGCCCTGCCCATAAAGGGCTCCCAGTCTAGCTGTAAGAATACAGGTAACTCCAGGCTAAATTAAACACTCCTCTGTGCTCCCAGTTTGCTCTGCTTATTCTTCCAGCACAACACACAACAAAATTAGCCACTTATTGGTCTGTCTCCTCAGTTAGCACAGTGGCTCTCAATCTTGGCTGTGCATTAGAATCACCTGGGAGCTTCTGGGCATGTCATGCATACCGGGTGGTCCCAGTATGCAGCAACGGTAGAAAACTGCTGCACTCCAATGTGAACCTTCCCAGGGGAGGGTAACATCTCGCTCAAATTGGAATTCACCTTCCCAATGACCTCTCCAAGGGCAACACCGAGCCCACTGGCTGGCACATGAAAGACATTCAGTAAATGTTTGTTAAGCAGCAAATGCAAATGATCAAAGCCATAGCAGGGATTCAAAAGGTTTTAGAGGCTCAAAGGATGAAGAAAGCACATCTGATTGGGAGAAACTGGGAAGATTTCATGGAGGAAAGGGCATAGGAAATGGATTTTGAAGTATGGGTAACAGTCTAAGAGTGTGAGATAAGGGAGGCAGAGGCAGAAGAGCAAAGTGTATGCTTCAGAAACTGTAAACGTGAAGATGGATGCAGTGGGACGTAGAGATGGAGAGGTAGGCTGCAATGACAATGCCAAAGTAAAAAGCTTGTAACTAACTTCATCTGCTAACAATAACTTTCAAGGGTGATGGGAGTTACATTCTGGGAAGATGACACTAGCAGCAAGTGTACAGAATGAGGAAAAGACTGGATTCAGAGAGTCCAACAAGGAGGCTGAAGTAGAAAAAGGATGTTGGTCTGAAAGAGTGGTGGCAATGAGAACAGAAAACACATGTGGCACATTCTGAAATTAATTCTACAGACCTCAGCAACTAACGCACATGGAAGGAAAGGAAAAGAACGATGGTAAGCTAACAAAAGCACTGCTATCATTAATTTAAAAAAAGAAATTCAAGGGGCTGGCCCGCTGACATAGTGATTAAGTTCACGTGCTCTGCTTCAGTGGCCCAGGTTTGGGAGCTCATATCCCAGGCACAGACCTATATACCGCTCAACAAGCCATGATGTGGCAGCAGCCCACGTACAAAATAAAGGAAGACTGGTACAGATGTCAGCTCAGAGAGAATCCTCCTCAAGCAAAGAGAGGATTGGCAATGGATATTAGCTAAGGGCCAATCCTCCTCACCAAAAAAATGAAATTCAGAATGAGAATATGGTTTTGGGAAAAAGTTCAGCAGGCATTTGTTCAACATTTACTAAATACATACCGGATATTAGGCACTGTCTTAAGTAAAAGGAATACCAGGAAACTAGATCAGCCAGGTCTTCTTTAAGAAATTTAGATTCTAGGAGAAGAGGACAATAAATTGGCAAAAAAATAAATATAACTTCAGAGAGTGATAAGTCCTATGAAGAATACAAAGCAAGACAATAGTACGGTTGGATTAGGTGATGTTGGGTATTTTAGGGAAAGCCTCTGAGGAGATGAAGGACGGCCACAAATTCTTCGTCATTTTCCCAGTGAGAGACGTAGTTTATTTCCCGTCCTCCTGAATCTGGGCTGGCTATGTGACTATTTAGCCAAAATACTGTGGCAGAAGTGCTGCTGTGTTGGTTCTGGGCTGGTCTAGCCTATATGAGGATCAGCTGCTTCTACTTTATCACTTTGGAACACTTGCTCCAGAGAAAGCTTTTCTGGAACTCAGCCTCCATGCTGTGAAAAGGCCAAGCCATGTGAAGAGGTCATGTGTAGGGGTACAGTGAGCTCCCAGCTGACAGCCAACATCAACAGCCAGCCATGCGAGTGAGCCATCTTGGTGCTTCCAGTCCAATCCCTTAGTAACTGACTTGGTGACTGAACATCACATGGAATAAAAGAACTACCCAGCTGAGCCCAGTCAAGCCCCATAAGCCCACAGACTCATGAGAGATAAAATGGTTCTTAAAGCCACTAAACTTTGGGGTGGTTTGTTACACAGCAGTAGATAACCACAACATCTAAGCAGAAAAACAAGGGGCCAGCCCCGTGGCCAAGTGGTTAAGTTCGTGTGCTCTGCTGCGGCAGCCCAGGGTTCGGATCCCGGGTGCGGACATGGCACTGCTCATCAAGTCACGTTGAGGTGGCGTCCCACATGCCACAACTAGAGGGACCCACAACTAGGATATACAACTATGTGCGGGGGAGTTTGGGGAGATAAAGCAGAAAAAAAAAAGAAAGAAAAACAAGAAGCAGCTAACCTTAGGAAGACTTGGGAAAAGAACAGACAGAGAGAGGACATAGCAAGCATAAAGGCTCAGAGTAGGGAATACGTTTGAAGCATTCAAAGAACAGCAAGATGGCGAACAGCTGGGTCTTATGAATGAGTTGGCAGTTGGGGATAGGACACAGTAATGAGTGTGGTTTTTACTCTAAGTGTAACAGGAAGCCACTAGAGGGTTTTAAGCAGGGAAATGACAGAATGTGGGTAACATTATAAAATAAATCACTGTGGCTGCTTTGTGGAGACTGGAATGGAAGAATCAAAGCAAGAGACTAGCTGGGAGGATCTGCAGCAGTCTAGCTGAAAGACGAAGGCGGCATGAACTAAGAGAGAAGCAAAGGTGATGATAAATGATCTGATTTTAAAAATGGAGGTGGACACTATTACAGGCAGCAAAGACCAGCTAATAAGTCACCAAGCACATTTCTTCTTCTTCTTTCTGGACACATGGTCACTACACATCCCAGCCCCTCTTCTGGTTAAGTCAGGCCATGTGATAATTAAGTTCTGGCCAATGCAACAGGCGTGGAAGTGATATGCACCACAACCAGGTCTGGCCCATGAAACCCTCCCACACTCGATCCTCCACCAGCTCTCCCTCCCCACCAGGGAACAGGGAGGACACTGAGCCCTAGAGGAGGGCAGCCAAACTACAGAAGGAGCCTGGGTCCCTAAATGACCACATGAAGGTCACCCACTACGTGGGAACATGTTTGCTTTTCACGTGAACAAAAATAAATTTCTTGTATGGTAAGTCCTGAGATTAGGGGACTTGTTTTTTATACCACCTTGTGCTATCCTAACCAAAACAGAAATACACTGCAGAAATTGCTGGTAAATTGGATGTAAGAAGTAAGGACAAGCGAAGATTCAGGATGACTTCTGGGTTTGTGACCTGGGCAACGGGAAGAATGCGGAAGACTGAGGGTACTCAGGTGGACAGAGAGGAAGTTCCGACAGATCAAGGTTTTTTTTTGGATATGGTAAATTTCAGATATCTACTGATGACCAAGTGGAGATGACGAACACACAGCACAGAGCTAAGTAGAGAAGTGGAGCTACAGAAATACATTTGAGAGCCATCAGGATGTACATGGGGTTTAAAGCCATGGACTGAATAAGACCACCAAAAGATCTATTATGGAGACAAAAGACTGAGTCCTGGGGCATGCCAACATTTGGAGGTCAGAAAGAAGAGGGGCAGCTGGTAAGGGACACTGCCAACAAGTGCTAGTGAGGCAGGAGGAAAACCAGGAGAGGCTGGTATTTCAGAAGTCTGTGAAGAAAGGAGGGAACAGATAACTAGGTCAAATACTGCTGAAAGGGTAGGTGATCAGAGGGCAGCAAAGTGACCAGTGGATTTGGGATGGCAGCTTTAACAGAGCGGCAGGGACAAGAGCCTGACAGCAATAAATGAAGAATTCAGGTAGAGGTTTTGGGTCAAGATGACTCAGTAACTCCATGCTCCAAAGCACTCCCTTGATTCCTACTTCTGGCCAAGTCAGAGTAACAGGGACCAGATTTACCCTCCTGCCTGAACAACCGAAAACTCTACACAAAATATATTAAATGGTTTTCAACACAATGGACAACAAAGAATAGTTGTCCTTGAAAGATAGGAGACAAACAAGGACAGCTCTTCCATTGCCCCAGTTTACCGCCATAAGAGTTTCCAGGCCATGGGCACTGGGCGGGGGCGGGGGGCATGGGGGATGATGACACGACTCAGGCAGAGTCCAGAAGGCCCCCTGAGGAGATGGAGCTGAGAGTCTGGGGAGACCAAGGCAACTGGAGTTGACAGGATAAAGTACCAATGTAGGAGAAAGCTGCATAGAGAGGGAGCTCCAGAGATCTGCAGAGGGTCCCTGCAATATAATAAAGGATCTGGTCTCTGTCCCCAGTTCCTTCAAAAACCCTTGGAATTTCCTGAGTGCTAGGAATGTCTTTGTTCTGTTAATGAGCTGACTTCCAGTGGGCCCCTAGACAGCTTCAGGATGGGGAAATGGTCATTAGAAAGACCCAGTACACGATTAGAGGGTTGGAACTTTCAGCCATCCAACCTTTGGGGAGTAGAGGCAGGTTGGAGATTGAGTTCAATCATGTGGCCAATGAGTTCATCAGTGTCCTGTAACTCTGATTCACCTAGGTTCAGAGGAGCTTCCTGGCTGAACACACTGATGTGCTGGGAGGGCAGAAGCCTGGATTCCACGAGGAGAGGATACAGATGCCCTGCATCTTTCCCCACGGACTTTGCCTTATGCATCTCTTCATTTGGCTGATCCTGATCTATATTCCTTGTAATAAAACTGTAAGTACAGTTCTTTCAGTGAGTCATTCTAGAAAATTATCCAACTTGATGGGGTAATGGGAACCCCTAAATCTATAGCTAGTTGGTTAGAAGTGCAGGTGGCCCCCAAGATATGTGTCTAATGTGGGTCTATCCTGTAAAGGACTTTGCCCCAACTTGTTGGGCATGCACTAACTCTGGGTATTTAGTGTCAGAAATGAACTGAACTGTAGGACATCCTGTTTGTGTCAGTGAACTGGAATGAGAACAACCCCCCTTGAGTATCAGCAAGGCACTGCTCAGTACACACATATGAGGAAAGTACCTACAGCCTCAGGAAGAACCACTGAAAGACTTCAATACAAAAATAGAGTAAAAATTAGTAAATTAGAAAACAAACATGTAATAGAGAAGATAACAAAGCCAAAAGCTGGTTCTTTGAAAACAACCGACGCAACTGATAAACCCATAGTAAGATTAATGAAGAAAAAGGCCACAAAAACTTATTATCAAGAATGAAACAGGATAAACTCATTCATGATTAAAATTAAACCCTTAGCAAACCAGGAATAAAAGAAAACTTTTTTTGTCAGATAGAGTATCTACTAGAGCAAGCACTATACTTGGTGGTAAATACTGAAACCTTTTCCTGCGAGATCAAGAATGAGACAAGGAGAAGGCGCTGGAGGGTTACTGGACACTGGCCACGTTCTATTTCTTAACCTGGACAGTAGTAGAAAGGGTGTTCGCTTCTCAATAATTTGCTAAGGTGAACATTTATATTTTACACACTTTTCTGTATGTGTGCTATACGCCACATTTTACAAAAGGCTTTTCAAAATGGGGAAGAGTAATTAAGATCATTGTTATGGTCCGAATTGTATCCCCCCAAATTCATATGTTGAAGTCCTGACTCCCAGTTCCTCAAAATGGAGACTGTATTTGGAGATAAGAGGCAACTGAGTTCAAATGAGGTCATTAGCAAGGGCCCTAATCCAGTATGCCTCATGTCCTGATATGAGAAATTTGGACACAGATGGGTCAGAGAGAAGATGATGTGAAGACACGGGAAGAAATGGCCATCTACAAACCAAGGAGAGAGGCCTTAAAAGAAACCAACCCTGCCAACACCTTGACCTTGGACTTCCAGCCTTTGGAATTGTGAGAAAATAAATTTCTGTTGTTTAAGCCACCCGGTCTGTGGTGCTTCGTTATGGCAGCTCTAGCAAAATTATACAGATTTCTTCTGACGTAAAAAGATGAAGAAAGTCTACAACCCATAGATTCCCGATATGTTAAAGAAGTTTAATTTCAGTGAGGAAAGGTGTGAATAAAAGAAACAACAATGAGCACAGGAACGGATCAAATATATTGATAAATTTGATACAAACAAAAAAATCCCGACTTTTTGTGTTTAAAAATGTAAAACTAAAATACTAAATAACAATAACGATGGGAAAGGCATCCTAAGATCCCCGTCACACTCTGGAGATACTCAGAAACACTGGGTAAGTATATACTTTATGGGGGGAGGAAGAGTTAAGCTGAGAAATTAAGCCTCCGGAAGAACCAAATACAAGAGAAGCGAGTGAAGACGATTCAGAGCAATAGAAGGCAAGGTAAAAATGCAATGCGTAGAAACCAAAAGGGTATTAATTTGAAGGAGGTGTTAGTCAACTATATTAAATACTTAGAGAAGCTGAGGAAAATAACGTCTGAAAAAAGACCACTGGATTGGTTAATTAGTTGGTCATCCATGAAATGACTTTCACAGAATGACAGAAGAAGCCTAGTTCTAAGCATTTAAAAACCAAACAGGTGACAAAGGGAGTGACTGAACTGAGCAGAGGCTCCAAGAAGATGGGAGTGTAGGAAATCAAAGCTACAGGAAAGCCTTTTCATAGGTAATGAGGTTTTACACTACGTCATAAATAGAGATGAATGAGGAGGGACGGAAATAAAGGTTCGAAAGCAAAAAGAAGAGAAGCTGACAAGAGTTCACATTATTATATGATATCAAGAGGCTGCTGAAACAGTCTGCTAGAAAGCCAGGAGTGTCACTGCGTCGGGGGAGGATGGGATGGGGGAGAATGGAGATTTGGAAAAGCAGCACCACAGGGGGCATCATACAAAGGGAGACGAACCAAAAGCCTGTCAAGCAGCTGAGTTTTGACTATGACCCCTACAAAGCCATGCTATTGGCAACTATGTTACTTTCTCCAATCAGGATCAGCAGATCCAGAGCTTTATCCAGGGCTAGAAATTAGCAGTGCAGAAACAGGGGAGACCAGGAGGGGAGGGAGAATAGTGGAATCAGCTGGAAATCCAAGCCCTCTGGCCAAATCCCCGGGGCCACTGACTTAAGGCGGGAACTCCTTGAGAAATCTTCTTACTGATCTCACACTTCCTCCAAATAAACTGCATCTAAACTTGCTGGGGATCTTGTTAAAAAACAGACTGATTAAGTCTGAGGTGGGCCTGAGATTCTGCATTTCTAACAAGTGATGGCCCACAGACCACACTCTGAGTAGCAAAGTGTTAAGGAAAAGTAACCATCCTGTATCGGTTTAGTTCAATGGTGGCACCTGTCATTCAACTACTTGTCCGAAATCGTCTCTCTCCCCCAGTTCCTACCATATTTATCATTTTTTAATCTGCTTCAGGCTATCAACATTATAATGTATAGCATTAGATTACTATGTGCCAAACACTGTTGCAAGCATTCATTCATTTAATCCTCACGAAAACTCCTGGAAGTAGCAATACTGTTATCTTTATTTTATAGATTAGGAAAACAAGTAACTTGCGCAGGCCCCTCAGCTGGTAAGTGGTGGAAACCGGATCAGCTCCAACTAAACCGCTTCTCCAGTGCAAGGTGCTTACAGGCCTGAGGGGCTAGAGGGGCTAGACTAATCTGGAAGCAGAGTCAAGCTCTGTATCGACCTAGAAGCAGCACGGCATAAAAGTCGGGGGGCTGCAGTTTAGTTCGCGTGCGTGTGTGTAGTTTCTGGAGCTGTGCCTCTGAATCTCGAGAATATGCATTTCTAACAAGTTCTCGGACAAGGATGATGAAGCTAGTCTGGGGACCACACTTTCATAACCACTGTCATAGAGAGAAAATCTGAACTGTTTTTCACTACCCACTGATAAATATGCATCTATAACTTTTTTTACACTCAAATCAGACTTGGAAACTTAAAAGACTACCACCAAATCTGAGCTATTCTGCTAACGATATTACTTCAAATCGTGCTTAACAGTTTTCAGCGATAACCAAAGACAACAAAATTCACCGTTGGCTCGGGTCTCGCTCAGCACTTGCTTGCCTCTTTCCCTAGGCCGCTCTTTGAACCGTGTAACGCAACGGCTACAACCGCGCAACGCCAGAGATAAGGCAGCCAACCGGCCCGGGCGATCCACGGGCCGGGCGCCCACCCAACCTGCTAGCGCAGCGCTCCCAAGTCCTCCGCAGGCCCCGCCGGGCCGAACCCGCACCCCGACGCCGCACAAACCCACCCTTCCGCGCGGACGCACGTCCCTCGTCGCCCCCTGCCTCTTCAGGAAAACCGACACCTTTCCCGCGCCGGCTGGAGACGCCCAGACGCCCCCGGCCCGAGCCGGAAGGGCGCCACCGGAAGTGCGTCACTGGAAGGGCGCCGTCCTCCTGCGCGTTCTCCTCGATTCGCTGGGCCGGCCTGGGCGGCGGCTGATTGACCCACGGTGGGGGCCGGCGTCTGTGGGCTTGTTTTAGGCCCTCGTCTGCGGGACTCTGTGCAATTGAAATCTGATGGGAAAGCCGAATACATAGAGTGGATAGAAAACGTAGTTTCTTAATATTAACTTGTTTTATTAGTTCGAATGTGTGACGTTTGCAGTCAAAGCCGGAAATCTATTTTGAGCATAATTTCTCAATGAGGGGTGATGGATGACAACCATAGACTTGGATGGGCACGCAAGAGAAGAGGAGGAGTTTGCACTCTATGGAGTAGTTGTAAATACAGCTGGCCCTCCCCTTAGGATAGTTTGACTTAGCATTTTTCGACTTTAAGAGCTACACGAATTCAGTAGAAACCGTACTTGGAATTTTGATCTTTCCCCACTAGAGGTAAGCAGTACGATAGGCTCTCCTGATGCTGGGCAGGCAGGGAGCCGCAGCTCCCGCTCAACCAGCTGGTCACGAGGGTTACCAACCAGTACGCTTAGAACAATTCTCTATTTCACTTTCAGTACAGTATTCAGTAAATTACACGAGATATTCAACACTTTATTATAAATAGGCTTTGTGTTAGATGATTTTGTCAGACTGTAGGCTAATGTGTGTGTTCTGAGCACGTTTAAGGTAGGCTAGGCTAAGCTATGATGTTCGGTAGCTTAGTTGTATTAAATACATTTTCGGCTTGATATTTTCAACTTAGGATGGGTTTATTGGGATGTAACCCCATCATGAGTGGAGGAAGATCTGTAGTCAGTTTTGTTTTGTTCTTGTCTTTAACTGCTGGCCTTGCAATCTCAGGAATCTCCAAAGAAGAAATGAGTTTTACATAATAGGAGGAAATGAGAGGTGTGCACAAAGTTATTTGCAACAAATTAAAAAGTGTTAAAAATTTTAAAGTGTGTACACCTGTGCATGTTGCTTACTACAATTTTTTAAAATTAAAATACACATGACAAAATTTATCATCTTAACTAGTTTTAAGTGGATAGTTCAGTGTTATTAAGTACATCCACATTGTTGTGCAATCATCACCACCATCTCCGTAACTCTTTTCATCCTGTAAAACTGAAACTCCATACCCATTAAACAACTTAACATTGCCCCCCGCCCCCAGCCCCTGAAAATCACTGTTCTCTGTGTCTCTCTGAATTTGACTACACTTTAGGTCAAAGTAAGTGGAACCATATAGTATTTGTCTTTTTGTGACTGGCTTATTTCACTTGGCATAATGTCCACAAGGACATCCAGGTTGTATAGCATGTTTCAGAATTTCCTTCCTTTTAAAGGCTGAATAATATTCCACTGTATGCATATACCACAGTTTCTCTCTTCATCTGTCGATGGTCTCTTGGGTTGCTTCCACATTTTGGCTATTGTGAGTAACACTGCTATGAACATAGATGTACAAATATTTCTTTAAAACCCTGCTTTCAATTCTTTTGGGTATATACTCAGATTGCTGGATCGTAGGGTAATACTATTTTTAACTTTTTGAGGAACCACCATACTGTTTTCCACAGTGGCTGCACCATTTCACATTACCACCAACAGTGCACAAGAGTTCCAATTTCTCCACTTCTTGTCAACACTTGTTATATTGTTTTTTTGATAGCAGCCATCCTAACGGGTGTGAAGTGATACCTCATTGGGTTTTGATTTGCATTTACCTAATAATTAATGATGAGCATGTTTTTGTGTGCTTATTGGCCATTTGTCTATCTTTACTGGAGAAATGTCTATTCAAATCCTATTTCTAAATCAGGTTGATTTTTTTGGTTGTTGAGTTGGAGGAGTTCTTTATATATTCTGGATATTAAACTTGTATCATATATATGATTTGCAAATATTTTCTCCCATTTCGTGGGTTGCCTTTTCACTCTGTTGATTGTGTCCTTTGGCTTGTTACAATTTTTAAAACTAGTTAAATATTTAAAAAATAAAATTTGAATCAGACCTGAAGCTTCCGCCGGGGAGAAGTTAAGAACCTTTGCACCACTGTCTCATCTCTACTTTCCTTCCCCTCACCCCCAACTGAGGAGGGTTCAGAGAAGGTAGGTACTTCAGTCCTTCTCTTTCTCTTGAACCTCCAATAATCTATTCACCTCCAAGCAGAAGACAGTATAGGAGGCACAGGAAAAAGGACATATATAACCAGATATTTATTAAAATAAGACAATTTCTAGTGCATATTATCTAATGTGCTGCAAAATGAATTCCATACCGCATATCTAGGAGGATCTTGAAGTTTTCTCCCTGACAGTGATGAAGGTGGAATACATAATTTTATGAAAATTTTTTACCATGAAGTTGAGCTGGTCTATATCAAGAAATTTTCCTAGTTTTAAACTTAATACTAATGACCTGCTATAATATCTAAAATGCATGAAATTAAGAATAAAAGTAAACTAAAGAAGAAACTATGGCCTATTTTTAGCAGAATTCCCGTCTGCATGCCTGAGATATAGGAAGACTATGTACCTATTGAATACCCACAAGCTAATTAGATTTCATTTTTTTCTAAAGCATTCAATTTAATATATTTGTAGTCTAAGTTAGAATTTATACATTTTGCTGAGCTTCGATTAATCAATTTCGCAATATATTCAGGAAAGTTCTCTAGATCTTCAATAAAAGAGAGAGAAGACATGCAAAAGTTATGCAGTTAAAAAGTAAGCTAGTGGAAGAGCTGTAGAAAGAAATGTAAGAAACTGATTGTGGAGTTCATCCGTTGGACAACACTACCTCCAAGTAAACTGGAAAAAATAACACTCTAAAATGAAAGCCACAGACACGGAGAAATGGGGATAGTTTCAGGTGTCAAGAGGTCTTTATTGAAATAATAGCACAGTTACACTTCTAATACCCTTTCCACTTGTATACAATAGATTAAAAATGCTTGCTACATACAGTGCACAGACAGTTCAATAATTAGAACCAACTCAACTGCATTTGAAATAAATAAAATAGCCTATTTAATAATTTAAAGTAAAATTACTGTACAATATGAAAATAAAGATACATAAATGTTAGAATCTACAATGCCATAGAAATAAAATCATTATTCTGCATTACACAAAACAGTGCAAGAAAAAAATCCAAATAAGCTTCTGGAGTGCAAAGTTTAAATTTTCCATTTTAAATTATCATGCGGACATAGCATTTCAAGCCATGCTATAGTCTATGGCAAAGTTTTTAATTTTTAAAAGGAAAAATGCTAGCCAGTAAGTTTACTGTACCATCGGGTGTGGCACCACGTAACGCTGCTGCCTGCTTCTACAGTACAGTTTAGAAGGGAGGTATCTTGTTGCATTCAAAAAATTGAAATTAACAAGTTTCTGAAGCAAACACATTTACCTTTTAAGCCTGAAACAAAATAGTGTGATTAAATAGTAATTATATCCCTGGGTTTAAGAAAAAAAAAAGGCCTATACCACATAATGAACTAGGAAGCAGTTTTCCATCCATCTTTAAATTCCATAATGACCCTTAGTGAAAACAACCATATAACTTTTGAGAGAGATGTAAAATTCTGACCTCTAGCTGACAAATGATACAATATCATTGGATTGTGAGAAAAGCAAAAGTAATTTCTGAACACCTATGTTTAATCTGTGTAGAATTGGTTGCATTACATGTAATAATATGCTTAAAGTATAGTTCCATTTCAATGTGTATATAAAACTGTTATTTGGGCAAAGACCAAGGAATGCATTTAATACTAAACTGTAAACACATCATCCACCTTGACTTGGAGTGCACACTGACAACAAGAGCTCTTCGCAGACTTTGGCAACAAGACTACATATAGCAGGTCACGGCAGCACGAGCTCACAATGGAAGACTGAAAGCACTGCAGAATAACACCACCCAACACCTCCTAGCAAAGGGATCTACGGTAAGAAGGGGCCTCCTCGTGCTAAGCCACTTTCCCAGTCAGTCTGTGTTCTTCAAATCTAATTTTCACAACTCAGTAGTCTTAAGCCTCTGTGCTTGCACTGCATAGACTGACGTCAGGTGTACTCTATCCATTGTAAGTCCAGAGGGTTACAGTTCTGTCTGCTGAGGACGACAGGAAGGAAAGGTCCTGGGTATGCCATCTGCACTGAATCACTTTGTCCTTATGCTCCCCCACCACCATGATAGGAAGCTGCTTAGTGAGGTCTCCTAAATTGAAAAAGAAAAGAGACATTGATTTACAATACAAATTAAGTACATGCATAGATTTCACTGACTTCCTGTTACTTTAAGACATTACAATATAAAAAAATCCTAAACTTCATTAATATACTAAAGGTTTACACAAGGTTAAATTAATGAATACCTAATTATGTTAGCAGAATTTGGTAACATATGCACAGCAACATGTGACACAGCTGCCCCTCTCTCCTTGAAACTCTCTCAACTTGATTTCTCCCTGACTTCGATGCCACTGCCTCTCCAACTCCTTTGCTGGTTTCTCTTCTCTTCCTGACTTAAAGTTTGGTGAATCCCAGGAGTCAACCCTCAGATTTCTTGTTCCCTTAATACCTCACTTGCTACAAAATTTCATCTAGTACCATGATACCATGGCCATTTATATACTTATAATTCACACATATTTCATCTCCAACCTTGACTTCTCACCTGACCTCCAGACTAGTATCCAAATAGTTATTCAACTTCTCACTTGATTGCCTGACAGTCATCTTAAATTTAACTTGTTCAAAACCAAACTCTTGATTTTCTTGCCCAAACCAGTTCCTCCTCCTACCTGTCTTCCTCATCTCAATAGCACCAACTGGTTACTCATTCCAAAAACCTAGGAATCAGCATTGATTCCTTTTTCCTCCTCACTCCCAAATTTAATCCAAACAAATTAAAATATATCCGGAAAAATTCAGTCACTTCTTACCACCTCCACCTCTACCACCCTGGTCCAAGCCACCATAAT